AARAGCCCCAGTGGTTAAGTSCCACCAGATTCAATCCTTRAWAMMAAAAAAAAAAAAAAAAAAAAAAAAAAAAAAARTGCCTGGTGTAAAGCACATAGTAAGTATTTTATGTCAGTTCATTGACTTCCTTGTTTTTTCATTTACTCAATACAAAATTGTTTTTAAAACAATCTAGGGTAGTATGCTATAAATTGTCATCAGTAAATTCTGCTTAAAGAACTTCGTGGGTATTTTTCACCTCCTTCTCTTAAATCCTCTTGGGCCAAACATTTCCAGCAGGAAATAGAGTAAGGCCTGTAAATTAAAACAGCCCCCAATGTAAAGTGTGAACAGAAAATTTCTCGAAGAATTCTATCTGGTGGTCCTTTGTGTCACTGTAGGTAATGGGGTCTGGGGGAGAGGGGAGGGTAGCCGTGAAGCTGTTGAGTGAAGTTCCAGTGTCGGGAAAGTTGGGCAGTCTCGTTTTACAGTACAATGTGGTCTATTATTTTGATAAACAGATTCTGAAATTCCAGAACATAGTGTGAACCACATTTGAATACATTTACAGAAACACCTTCGAAAATCCCCCCTATAAAATTTTAATTACCTATGCCTTCACCTCCCTCTTTGTGAATTAACTGTGAAATGACTATGCAACACCCTTAAATTGGAACATTAATCATACAAGCTATCAATATAATAAAAATTATGATGTGACGGTATTATATTTTTATCATACCTGTATTTTATTATATAAATATATATTTTATTTAATATTTATAACTAAAGACTTAGCCCTCAGAACAATGATCTAATAGGTTCATACACACTGAGGTTCACACACTGGGATGGAATTTGTTAGCAGAGTTTTGTTCCTTGTGTTTCCCTGTGCAGGGACAGTGTTGTGTTTCTTCACAATGTTAGGGCTCATTGAAACAGGAAGTTGACTCCATTAAGTTATAGGAAGTCTATAGGATTTGGGGAGAAAAACTAAATATCTAGAAACTATTTCCCTCTGAAAATCTGGGAAAGCAATTCTAGACAGAGAAAACAAATGCATCCCTTCTGTAGGGTTGAAGCAAACAAAGCTTTTCTTGACAGTGAAGGTTTTCATTGTGTCTAAAAGTGAAGTCTTCATTGGTGGGAGGGTTTCTTTTATTTGATCCCTCAAGATTACCAAACCAAACTGGGCACAACAGCATACACCTGCAACCCCAGTAATTTGGAAAGCTGAGACAGAAGGATGGCAAGTTAGAGGCCAGCCTTGGCAACTTAGTGAGGCCCTAAGCAACTTAACAAGACCCTATCTTAAAAAAAAAAAAAAAAAAAAAAATTAAAAAGAGCTAGGGATGTGGCTCGGTAGTTAAGCACCCTTGGGTTCAATCCCTGACCAAAAAAAAAAAAAAAAAGATTTTCAAGTCACATGTCACCATCTCTAGCTAAAATACAGTATCACAAAATTATGATTAAAGTTGTAGAAGCCAGTTCATGAAGTGGCAAGAGATTACAAATCCTGCATTTCCTCCTCAAGGTTTCTGTGAATTAAATTTCAATAGCGTTGAGTACTTTTGAGAGAATACCCATAAATTATTGAAATTGTATTCCCCAACTTTTCCCCTTGGTTCATGGCAAAGCAATTTTGACTAGTTCATAAATTAGAACAGTGGTTGGGTTTTTAACAAGATAATTTACTGAAAATATTCTTGCTGTATTGTGATTGTGTGGTTAGAATAATGAGCCAAAGACTGCAGAGTCAGCCAAGGAATGGGTAACCTGCAGTCCCAGCCCAGCCCTGCCGCCAGCAGATGTGTGACTTCCATGGAGTTTGTCAGATAACCTTTGTCCAATCTCTTCTAAGGGGCTATTATGAGACCCAAATGAGTGAAAGTTTGCAAAAGCAATTTGAAAGATAAAAAACACTGAAGATAACTAAATGTAGTTACCAAACATCCTGAAGGCATGTGAGTAGAACAAACGGAGTAAATGTTGATGGGCTTTGTGTTTAATATTCCAGGCAACCAGGGAAACCCTCAGTCGGCACTGTAATACCCTTGGGGATGCTCTTCGGAAAGAGAATGATTTTGCTCTTATAATTGATGGGAAGACCCTCAAGTATGCCTTAACCTTCGGAGTCCGGCAGTATTTCCTGGATCTAGCTTTGTCATGCAAAGCTGTCATTTGCTGCAGGTAAATTCTCAATGTTGTCAGATTTCAATAAAAGCAACTTTATCTTTTGATCAAGTTTTTGATCTTTAAAAGTTCCTTGAAGTTATCCTACTCAGAATCTGTAAATGTGAGGTTACCCAATTCATTCACTCAAGACCTGAGGTTCACACACTGGGATGGAATTTGTCAGCAGAGCTTTTGAATGTGAGCCCTAACAATCATCAATAAGTACTATTCATAATTTGAATCCACAGTTTTCCTGCTGTTATTTGTACTTAAAATTGGTTACTGGGGCTAGGGATGCAGCTAGTGGTACAGTGAGTGTTTTAATGCACAAGGCTATCACTTTAATCCCAGCACACACGTTTGGAAAAAAAAAAAAAAGATTAGTTACCTGCATTTCCATCTTGAGTTTATTTCTGTTAGCCTTCTGTTTTCTACACTTAAATCTTTGATCCTACTGCCAGAATTTGTTTTGGGGGAATAGCAGGATGAGAGGTATAAACTGGGTCATTTTCCAAATAGCCGAGCATCTTTCTGAGGCTCATTACTGACTCTATATGGTCCCTTGCCTGCTAATTTATAATATTGCCTATATCCTAAATTTAAATCTTCTTTGAGTTATCCTGTTCTAATCCATAAAATTAGCCCCATCTCCTCCCTTCTAATCACCATGAAACCTAAGGATTTTCCTCTTTGTCGTCCACTTATTGAATCTTACCCACTGGGCAGACTAGGCTCAGAGTAGTGCTTTTTCAAGTCACTTTATCGCCTTGAGAGACAAGGTGTTAGTAGACTTCCAAAGAAATTTCTCAGAATCTGTGTATTTTACATTATCTTTAAAACTGTCATTTGCTTTTGTTTTTTTTTTTAAAAAGTTATAATCACTAATAAAGTGTTATGCTTTTAAAAATTTTGGGAAGGGGGACAGTTCTGGGTTTAGTCACTTAAATATCCTGTATATGATTTTATCTCTGTACTTATAATTCATACCTTGTAGATATTCCTAAATTTCAATTGAAATATACTTCCTGAAATAGAATTTAAAGCATACTTAATAAGTATCCTATATAAGCATCACTTCAACTTATAAACTTAGGTCATAATCAGAGAAGTAAGAGCTGCCTATTATTCCCAGAAATCTATTTTAGCCATAGAATCTATTTTTCATCTCTTTGGCATATATTAATAAATAATGTTATTATAAAGCTTTTGGAAAATAGACTGTGCAGATGTTTAATGTTAGTAACAATTAGGTTCTTTGCCTAATCATGAAGAAAGAGTTGGAAATGATTTTGACTCTCATTTTTACTTGGGTAGCCTCATGCTTTTTAAAATCTGCTTTTACAGTGACTTTTCTTGGTTCCTTGCTAATATCTTGACAAGGTCTTGCTCACATTTGGCTCTGACACCCTTCCATCAGGATAATTTTGTGCCAGATTTGGTCACTTAATCATTTTCACTAATGGGTTCATAAGGATCAAGAAAAGATTGCTCAAAAGCACGAGTGTTAGCCTAGGGGCTTCTACTTGGAAATAGAACACAGAACAGAAGACAGGGCTATGCAAATAAAGTGGCCAGTTTCCTTAAGAGGGCATCCATGTGTGCCTGCTGTGTGCTGGGCACAGATGCTGTGCTTACAAAGACGAGTAAGACTCACTACCTGCTGTCCTTCTTGCATCTGACGTTTTGTTTTAAGCAGAGTCACAACGGGTTTGAAAGATGTGGGAGGCCAGTTTTCGTAACGCAATCTTTGCAGCTGAGCTTCATTTTTAAAGCATTGCTTAACACAGTACCTCCCACCATTCTTCAAAAAGTTGAACCACAAAATTAAACAATAGCAGAGGGAGGGAAAAACTAGAAAGCAGAGTCAAGGGAGAAGAAATATGTTCTGTGCTTGTGAAATTCCCTCCCAAGATCCTTGTCCTGTATGCTCACAAGTCACATGGATCTCAGGGCTCCTCCAGGCCCAAGGGACCCTGGGAGGGACTCACACACACTCTGCCATACACGTGCAGCTCAGCTCTGAAACTGAGCTTATAAAGATGTGTGTGGCCCCTTCCTCCCTTGGTTCTGTTTTATGCATGTTTGAGGACCATGAAGGTCCCTATGCAGACACTGAGTTTTATTTCAGGGTTGTGTTTTATTTTATTTTTTTTTTCCTTTAAGTAAAATATCTTTCCTCAGCATTTTTTTTTTCTTTTTTTCTAATTACCTTCATGCTCTCTTTTCCCATAAGGACTATGGTTCAGCTTCCGGCCTGGCTTTGAGAATTGGCCTAAGCCTCTAATTACATCAGTGCCACTGCTGGATTTATGTCTGTGCACCTTCTTGGCCTGGTGCCTCTTGACATTTAAACTATTGGCACAGACCATCTTCTTGTCATTTCAACTCTCCGACCTCCAAGTGTAATTTCCATGATAATGCCTCTGTCACGTGAGGGGAATAGGTGGGCAAGTCTGTGTATCATTCTTGGCGATTAAACCCCAGTGTCAGTTCTCATTTCTCAGATGATTGCAATCTTCCAGCCTCAGGAAATTCTCCATTTTACTCCATTAGATAGACGCTCCAGATAAATACCGAGTATTATTTCAAAATACAGTACGGTACTGTTTCCCAAATTTGTCTGTGTTCATGCTGGCTTTCTGGGCTTTTCCCTCAAATTGAAGCTGCTTTCCATTCTACTGCCTGTCAATCTACACACAAGAAGATAATTCAGAACCAGACCTTCTGCCGTCTTCTTTCTAGCCACAGCCAGAGTGGAAGCAGCAGGAAGAGACTTCCTGTAATGGATAATAGTCTCTCCATGTTCCTCCTCCCATCTCCAGGATTACATCAGCCACTTTCCTCCCTGACATTATCAGCATCCAGGGCAGAAGGCAGTTTTGAGTGTTTGCCTCATTGACACAGTTATACGGATGAGCGTTTGCCCTTGGGCTTCCCTCTGGACGGAAAGAAGCCAGTTGCGCTCCATTGGTAGTCATCACCCCTCTCACCACCATTTTCTGAAGGGAATATCCTGAGACAAGACTAATCCCTCCCTGGGCCCCCAAATCGTTCAGGGCTTTGGAGTCCTGGTTTTGGTTTACACAATGTAGGTTGAATGTTATACCTCAAATATGTTTGGTGAAGCATGCTGACCCAAGAAGTAGAATGTGATCTGTTTTTATCAGTGTTCACAAACACTGTGTGGCTGGTCTTTTCACCGTGGTGTTCATTTCCCTGGGTAACCTGAGCTATTTCCTGGGAAGCATGCACTCACTTTTCAGGTAGTTTCTGATACATGTTTCTGGTTATAGCATCAGCATTTTAGGGATGCTTCCTCCCTCTTACTCCCATTCTTTTTTTTTTTTTTAGGAGAGAAAGAATTTTTTTTTAATATTTATTTTTTAGTTCTCAGCGGACACAACATCTTTGTTGGTATGTGGTGCTGAGGATCAAACCCGGGCCACACACATGACAGGCGAGCGCGCTACCACTTGAGCCACATCCCCAGCCCCTTACTCCCATTCTTTTAGGGTACTTTCCTTCTACTTCCCTGGTCAATCCCATTGATTCTTATTTGTGTGATCACTGATACTCTGGAAGAATATTTGTTTCTTCCTCCAGGAGAAACACACATGCACACAAATAGGTGAGCTCACATGCACCATTTTAGGGGCTTCACAGAACCCCTTAAACTCCTTAGACAAGAAGAGAAAGGAAAAAACTTGCTATCGGATTCATGCAGATTTGTGGACTTAGCTGAAATGAACAGCTATCTCAAAGTTCTAGATAAATAATTCCTGATCTCGGTCACCAGTGCCTTATGACTTGAGGCCTTCTAGTTTGTATAGTTGATATCATGGCATTTTGACTGGAGATTCAGGAAATGCTTGTTCTGACTCTCCCTCTCTGGCACTCTGGATACCTACCTAATGGAACCTCAGTGGCCTTGGTTTCATGACCTGTGAAATGAAGAGATTAGAATTTAGCCATGATAACAGTCCTCCTGGGGACCTAGACGTATGAGCAGATAAGAGTGAAGCTATTCTGACATGGAAAGGCGGGAAACACACACACACACACACACACACACACACACGCACACACACAGAGACCCTTCCTGGGGCGTTCCATCCCAGCTTGAAAGCATCTGGGTCAGAGGACCTCCCATCGCCCTTGCAGTCTCTGGATGAACTCTCCTCCCGTTGGCCACTCTGCCGGGAATAGCCTTTCTACTGCTTAGATCAGCCGAATCCCAGGGAGCAGCTGCTCTGCCTCTTTTACTGTTCCCTCCAGCAGACTGGGAATGTTGCAGTGAACTGTTGCTGTGTGTTAAATAGCGTGTGGTTTCTGAGGTCCTCATCAGTTCACGTAACCCAGCCTTTCAAAGAATTTGACATTTTTTCTGTAGTTGTCAGTTTAGTTTAAACATATTTTGAAACTTATGTTCTGTGACAGTTGGTTGAAAATTGGCTTAGAGCCTCCAGCTTTTAGACTGTCTAGTAATCACCGTTCTTCTACATAATTTATGTACTCATGTCTTCTGAAAAGCAGAAGTTAAATTGGAGTCAGCATTTTTCCCTACTTGCAACATCCCTAATCAAAGTTAAACCCCTCTTTTAGGCCATTTTCCCGTAGTGCTTAAAAAAAAACACTTGACTTCATTGAGCATCGTCACTTGGGAGTGGCATCCCAGGCCAAACCTTTCACCTAACTCTGATCAAAGGTTCTCCAAGAAGAGGTCTGAAGGGACACTTTGAATATTTTCTGTCATAGCACGAGTCCATTAAATAAAGGGTCAAAGGCAGATCGACTTCTTGAATCTCTTGGGATTGTCTTTAGCTTTCAAACCTTCTCTAAACAAATGTTCTATTTAAAAGGTAGTCATAAAGCACAAATGAAGCTAATAAATGCTCTACAGACATTCCTGTAAGGAAAAGAAAATTGTGAGCACCATTGGATGCCAAGCAGATGTTTGGCTTTGAAAAGACAAACTGTTAATGAATGTCAATGTTATATTTGCTTCCAAGAAAATA